AGCAGATGTTTCCGAAAACTTTTGCAAGGTATGAGTTGTATCCTTGAGATCAAAACTCTTTTTGACACCATTACTTGTCGCAAAATCTTCTAGAGAAAGTGTTGGAGTTTCTTAGAGATAGAGTCATTAAATTTAAAGCTTTCAACTTCCACTTTTTCAATCGTGACTTGTTCCATCTCGTTTTCATCGAACATGTCATAGATTGGAGAAATTTCTGCGGCGTCTTCTTCAGCCACATCACAGGTTGAAAGATTTTTTGTATCGTCTTGATCAAACACATCAAATATTGGATCAAAATTTTGCTGTGGAAATTTTTCTTCCTCTTCTTCTGCATCGTAAACGTCAAAAATCGGTCCTCCAAGTTCAACAAAATAGGATTCCTCGTTGTCTTTTGTGTTGGCATCTAAATCTTCATACTCGTTATCCAAGTCTGAATCACTGTTGTTGAGACTGCGAGCATGCTGCTGAATAACTGGAGTAAAAAAATTCTTGTCCCCTTCTGAATCTCCGTTATTACCATTATCTTTACAGCGGATTGCAGGGGCAGTACGTTGCATAATTAAGTTTTTCACGGTGGCACAAGAGAAGCAATTTTGGCTTGAAGGTCGGCGATAGATTGTTTGCTGGCTGGGGTGTTGTCATCAATTTGTTGCTGAGAACGGCGATAGGTACGAACAATCGTGGGTTGAGAAAGTTTCGGAACGTAGCAAAGTTCTGACACCAACCTGGCGCAGCGTACAAATGGGTGAACGGTCGCTCTAAGAATTTAAGATTCTATGAGACCTGTTCTTGAATCGATAAAGAGTTTCTTTCGATAGCTTCTTGAGACCAACTTCTTGCTTAATGAATTGAATCGAATCGAACAAGGTATAAAAATCAAAGCACTTCTTATTAAAATTAAACGTGTCTAAACATTATGTCTACCATCTGTTTATATTGCTAATTCCATTGACAAACCATATGGAATTAGGATTCTAAAGATTAAGATAAAAAGGAAATAACATGATATATCATGAAATATCATGATTATAAAAAAAAGGCAAATAGAAGTCATAAAACCAAAGCTATGTAGTATTGTAATTTGAATCCATCACATTAGCGCCATACTCGAAAATGCTGCTGCATCAGATGGAAAAGCTTGCCTCTATATTTCGTCAATGGTGAATGTATGATCAATTGTATGGTTAGCCGCTCTCACGTTTATGTTTTGTTCAACGATAGCAATTGTGATAGAGAAGAAAGATATGCTAGGTTAAATGTTTTAGTTGTTTGGCAATATGATTGATAGTTCTACAATATTCGTGAGTTATCTTCAAAATGTTTTAAAAATAAAGAATAATTAAAAAATTTAGACTAATTAAATTATACTCTCTCCGTTTCATATTAAGTGTCGTTATAGAGAGTTTTTTTCGTTACAAAATAAGTGTCGTTTTCGGTTTTCAATGCAAAATTTATTAACTTTATTATGTAATTTGTTTTTCTGTTGGTTAAAATATGGTTAGGTGTATGGGTAACTGTGTTTTTATATAGCAAATATGTAAAATTAATTGTTTTCTTAATCCGTGTGCACAGCTGTAGAGTGACACTTATAATGAAACAGAGGGAGTAAGAAATTTCCTCACTCCTTTTCTAGTGACATAGGAGAAGTCAATAAATATATACCATTAATATTTATGTATAATGTAATACTATTTATAAAAAAATTTGTTTGTAAAAAAATCCCTAACATAGTATTACTGAAAAGTTTATAAGCTTATAAAATAAAATGTGTAATAATTTATTTTATTTTATACCTATAAATTAATATAAGAGTATAAAATAAAATGTTTAATAATTTATTTTATTTTATACCTATAAATTAATAAATTTTGCAGTAAATAAATAAATGGGCTTATTGGCTAGATAGCTATATTTCAATGTCAAATTAAGTGAATAGTACTGATTTTGACATAATTAAATGTCAGACTTTTTGGTCATATTTTCTCCGGTTTTGCCCTCTGTCGTAACAAGTTACCAGTTACAATTCTTAAAGTAAACAACGTGGTTGGTTTTTGTGACACATAATTAATACATATAATGTAAGAGAAAGCAGCGACATGCGTGGATAATAATTGTACGCGTTATACAATTTATGTTAACTTAACAAAATGAATTACATGCTATTCTATGTGACGAAATAGTATAGATCACGAAATAAACTGAATCTTATCAACTAAGAACTAAATCATACACGAAAATGTAAACTCTAATACAATATAAACTATTCCAAATAAAATGACAATAGCACCTGAAAATTATTCCAAATCCATGTATATTTTTATTCACCACATACATATGCATGAGCGTTCTATTCCACATAGCCTAAGTAGTATATGTTTATAACTCCACCTACAAACCTTAAATACTAAACATATCCCAATTTCAATCCCTAAATACTAAACTTTATCTCAATCTCAACCAACTCCTAAAAACTAAACCCTCTCTCATAGTCTAAACCCTAACCAAATTTCAATCTCAATCTTTTAAGGTATATTTCCATTCTATAAGAGCATATAGAACAGAAAAGGTGACAAACGATATAACATAGAATATATCGTTCAAAATTTAATGTATCTATAATTGCAAGGACATGAAATAATGTCAACCCCAATCTTCTATAAACTAAATTCAAATCACTAATGACTAAAACCCTAACCCAATATCAACCCCAATCTTTTATAAACTAAATCCATACCTCTAATCACTAAACCCTAAATGGAAATATAAACCCTAACCCAATATTAATCCCAATATTTCATAAACTAACCTAAATTTTGAAATGTTAGTAAGATGTATTTCCATTCTATATGAGCATATAGAACAGAAAAGGTGACTTACGATATAACATATAATATATTGTTCAAATGTTAAAGTATATATTATTGCAGGGAAGGAAGTAATGCCAACCCCAATCTTCTATAAACTAAATCCAAACCACTGATTTCGAAATGCTAATAAGGTGTACTTCCATTCTATATGATCATACAGAACATAAAAGGTGACAAACGATATAACATAGAATATATCGTTCAAAATTTAAAGTATCTATAATTGCAGGGAAAGGAAATAATGTCAACCCCAATCTTCTATAAACTAAATCCAAATCACTAATGACTAAAACCTACATGGAAATATAAACCTTAAACCATAACCCAATATCAACCCCTAATCATTAAACCCTAAATGGAAATATAAACCCTAACCCAATATCAACCTCAATCTTTAATAAACTAACCCAAATTATGAATGAATATCATTCTCATTCAATATGACATTATATACTGTTTTATTTGATGTCATAATAACTCCTATTCCATTTACATTCAATATATTATTTCTCTTTACAAAATCATATACACACTAATATAAAATACATATACACACCGATACATAACTCATAACAAGAGAAACTAATTTTAGCGGAGGTTGGATTGTCTTTTAACCATTTTCTTTCCAGTGGGTTCACTCCTTGTCGCGAACAATCTACTTGAAAGGTCCAACTCGTCCATGTCAGACCTAACATAATAAAAAAAAAATATGAGAAAATAGTTAGTAGAGATAAGCTATACATTGATGTCATGAAATTAAACATGATGGTAAACTGAAACAAGATGAACATCTATTATTCCAATCCAATCCATGTCGAATCGAATAGACGTAAATGCCGATATACTATATACGTTCCTTTCCATTCGGAATGGAATAAATTTAGATCATACTCAGCTATAGTGGGAATCTCAACAACAATGTAATGCATTAGGTAGTAATCGACCAATCATTATATAGGTAATAAACCAGGTTGTTCTGTATCACATATATTAATCTAAATATCAAACTTATGGAATAATAAGACCATGAACAAGAACGTATGCAAGTTTATATTAACATGAGAAACATTGTTACTATTTCTATTCCATATTACTTAGAATGGAAAAACTCTAAACGACATAGAAAAATATACTAGATATGAATTTTCATTCCATTCTAGGTGGAATAAATCAAAACCTTATGGATCTATTTATGACAACAAGGGAACTATACATTCAGTAGCCATTCCATGGAAGAAGGAATAATATGATACTAAACTCACAAAGTAAAACCCAGAATGCAAACGTTTGATTTCGTTTATAAATAATATGAACCCCGATAAGAATTGGAAAGGTAGAGACCAATTTCCTGTTCCAAACTGATTTTAAAAGTAATTTTTTCTGTTTAGAGCGAGTTTAAAAGTTAGTCGCCAATTTGATTAACAGATCCAAAAATTTAGTAGGATGACTTTGTAGATTTAACAACACCACAACCCTAATTCCCAATACAAACTAGAAAAAGAATTGATAATAACATGGAATAAGAGAAGAAAGAGAGAACTTACATTCGGTGAAGAGATGGGAGAAAATAGGAGATTCAGAAGTGTATTTCATCAAGGCGCCGGGAATGCGGAGTACAAACCGAAGAATTTCTCAATTGAAGTACACGAGTATATGGGGAAGGTGATTACGACGACGGAGAACACGAAATTCAGAGAGAAGAAGACGATTCCAAGGGGTTAAGTTGATGTGTTGTTGGAGACCTTTCGCTTTCCCCAAAGTTAGTGGGATGTGGAAACAAATGGTGGAGATGGGTAAGACACTATTTACACTGGGAAACCAAGAGAATAAAAGAAAAAAAAAATTGTTCCGGTGAAACCGGTTGAGTTTAGGGGCAATACAATATTTATATAGAAAAGAAACGGTGTGAGTGTGTCTGTGAAAATTTTTGGGTAGTAGCCCAATTATGTTTTTTTCTCTTGCTATAGAGTCTAATTTCTCATAAATAAACGGCATGTAGTTTGGGGGAAACGAATACGTGGCATGAATTTATTGAAGTAGGTGCATTATTGTCATTTGCTCTTCCTATCTCTCTCACAGCCCTAATTGATAATAACTAATTATGTAATTGTGGTAGATGATTGTCATCGATCCCGTCACCAAGAAGTCAAATTGTTTTTCTCTCGATCCTCCTCTGATTCCGCCATCATCATCGAGTAACTTGCCAAAAAATCTCTCCGGCGAGAAATTTCCCCAGGGGAAGAGTTTCCCGTTGACCTAACTAACCGGAGTTACAGTGGAATGGACTCGATTGTATGCACCGCACTGGAGGAAATCTGTTGTCAGGGAAACACAGGGATCCCTCTAGTTTCCCTCTGGTCACGGCTCTCTCATCCTCCTCTATCTCCTTCCGTCAAGGCACATATCTGGAGAAACCTAGTATCAATCCCTCAGCTCCAGTTCAAGGCGAAGAACACTGTCTACGGATCATCGGATCCTTCGATTCAGCTGCTGGAAGATGCTCATAGGCTCGATTTGAGGATCATCGCGAATGAGAAGCTCCGAGGTAACTTCGTTGGCTTGTACGACGCTCAGTCTAATAACACGACTATCTCAGCCGTTCAACGACGCGTTCTCGAGCGTCTAGCTGTTGCTCGGTAAGCTTTTTTTGGTTCTTTCAAATTCTGTTTTATTTACTCTATTAAGTAAGAGCTGTGACTGTAATCGCAGGTCCAATGGTGTTGCACAAAATCTACTTGCTAAAGAGTTTAATATCGAAGGGAGGAACTTCTTTTATACTGTGAAGCAGCTTGAGTCTCGAGGTTTGATTGTTAGGCAACCTGCGATTGTGAGAACTAAGGAAGTTGATGGTGAAGGAGATTCTAAAACCACCTCATGTGTTAGCACCAACATGATCTACTTGAGTCGTTACTCCAAGCCTTTGGGTTCTCAGCAGAGGTTTGAAATCTGTAAAGAGGACCCTTCGTTGGAGGCAACTGCTCCGGAAGATAGTACACAGTCCGAGATTACAAAAGAGGATACGCTCATTAAAGATTTTCTACCAGCTATGCAGGCTATTTGTGATAAGCTTGAAGAAGCTAATGACAAGGTTAGTAAATGCAAATCATTTTTTTTTTAAAATCTAGCTCCATATGAACTTTTTCTTGTTGTGCAGGTTCTAGTAGTCTCAGACGTCAAGCAAGACCTTGGTTATCTGGGATCACATTCAAGGCATAGAGCTTGGAGAAGTGTAATATATATTTTTCGTTTGGTTGAATCGTATTGTCATTTCTTTGATAACGTAACTCAGGTTAACTGATAACATTCTGAGTTGAATCTTTTCTGGGATAACACCAGGTTTGTCGCCGATTGACAGATTCTCATGTAGTAGAGGAGTTTGATGCTGTGGTGAACAATAGGGTGAGCTATATAATCTGTATCTCATTCCGTCATTCTCTATATATGCTGGCCATTTGCCGTTATCTAGCATTTCTGTCCTGTTTTGTTTGGATTCAAAACTGTTTCCCATGTGGGTTGTCCTTTTGTAGGTGGAAAGATGCCTCCGTTTGCTAAAAAGTTTTTCAGCAAAAGATTTTACCTATTGTGGGAAAAAGCAATTCCTGAAATTTGGAAGGAGTACTCAAAAAACAGAACAAACTTTGGAGCTTCCCATAGATAATCAAATTTATGATATGGTTGATGCTGAAGGATCTAAAGGCTTAGCTGTAATGGAGGTATTCATTTTGATGGATTTGGCTTACAGTTTTTTTGGAGAAAATGACATACTTGAAAGAGTCGTAAATTGTTATTTTTTACTAGGTATGCGAAAGGCTTGGACTTGATAAGAAGAAGAGCTATTCTCGGCTTCATAGTATCTGTTCACGAGTCGGGATGCATCTACAGGCAGAAAGCCACAAAAAGACTAGAGTGTTTCGAGTTTGGACCTCTCGTAATGCTGGGACCGATTCTGCTAATTTGTTTCCTGATAAAGCTGAAACGATTAGCAGGGAAAGTAGCGTACCAATTAATGATTCCAGCACACCTCATGTTACTGGTGGATTGGCTCAGCCTTTCATCGAACACAGTCTTACAGTGGCTGATGCTGACTTTGCTACGCCTCCACGGTTAACTGATTCTGAATGCAACTCAGGAGTTCTCCGAGTTGCTACACCTGTAAGGTTAACTGATTCTGAAAGAAGTTCAGGAGTTCTCCATTGTTCCCCATCTAATGCCACAAGAAGAAATGTGCTTGCATGTCGTAACTTGCAAGAATCATTCCATGAGATCGGTGATAAGGTTGTTGATACTGCAATGGGGTCCCCTGATTTGGCTTTATCAGAAATGAACCATCTCGGTCTACCGAAGCCGTCAAAACTAAAAGTGCATCAGCAAATTCCTATCACTGTTGAAAACGCTCGAAGAGAACGGAGGATACTTGAGCGCTTAAATGTACTCACTGTTCTCTTTTTTTTATTCCATAAATTTCTTCTTTTGTTCGTCCAACTAACTGATTGTTTCTTCTTTTTTCGCTGGTCAAAGGAGGAGAAGTTTGTTTTGAGAGCCGAACTACACAAGTGGCTTGTCAGCCTTGAGAAGGACAGGAGCACCAAGGTGGATCGAAAAACCATTGACAGACTTCTTAAAAGGCTTCAACAAGAAGGACTCTGTGAATGCATGGCCGTTAGTGTCCCAAATGTAACTAATTGTGGTCGTAATCGTAGCTCTGTGATAGTTTTGCATCCGTCTGTTCAAAAATTGACTCCAGAAGAATTTGGTGTTATTCATGATAGGATTAGGTCTTTTGAACTAGGACTCCGTGGCCAGAGTTTGTCAAAGAGAAAAAACAACGAACCAATTCCGATATTGAATGACATTCAGAGAGGTCAAAGTAATGTGGATTTGGATGCACGAGCTAGCAAATCAGGAGCCATGCGAGCCAACGGGTTTGTGCTTGCAAAGATGGTTCGCGTGAAGCTCCTACATTGTTTCCTTTGGGACTACTTTAGCTCTTTACCTGGCTGGGACAATGCCTTTTCTTCTTTACATGATCATAAATTTGAGAATTTGTTTGCACTTGAAGATGCTTTTAGAGCCATGCCACTCGAACTGTTTTTACAAGTTGTTGGATCTACTCAGAAAGCTGATGATATGATGAAGAAATGCAAACAGGCTATGCGTCTTTCCGAGCTTCCTAGCGAAGAGTATAAGCTTCTAATGGATACTCTTGCGACTGGTAGATTATCAATGCTTATTGATATTTTACGTCGATTAAAGGTAATAATAATCGAATTGCAACTCAAGTACATATTACATGAAAGTGTGCAGTTCAAAACTAGGTAATTCTATTGCTCGTGCCTATTTTTATTTTGTAGTTGATTCAGATGGTAAGTAATAGATTCAGACATGCCGAGGTTGAAGAGAAGTATGCCAATTTGACACATGCAATGGAGCTTATGCCTTATATAGAGGAACCTGTGTTTGTTGCTGCCACACCAAGTATCATGTCTCTTGATCTTCGTCCTCGTATTCGGCATGACTTTATTCTATCAAATAGAGATGCTGTAGATGAATATTGGCTAACTTTAGAGTATTGCTATGCCGCTGCTGATCACAGAGCTGCTAAGCAAGCATTTCCAGGATCTGTTGTTCAAGAGGTATAAGATTGATCTTCTATAGCATAGCTTATTATATAGATATTACAGCTGAGTGTATATTTTTCCATGAACAAGAAAAACTATATTATACTCATAATATGTATATATGTATGTCTTATTGCTATATTATCCTGTTATGTTAATTTTCAGCTGCCTGATGTTTAGAAAACAGCTTCTAACTGTAAGTTCTTCTAGGTTTTCCGTTTTCGTTCTTGGGCCTCAGACTGCGTCATGACAGCAGAGCAGCGTGCTAAGCTCTTACAGCGTATTGCAACTGATGAGAAGGAAAAACTCTCATTCAAAGAGTGTGAGAAGATCGCTAAGGATCTGAACCTGACCTTAGAGCAGGTAAATATATATGTTATGTGGGTGCTGTATAAATTGTTAAAATTGTCTAAATCACTTAGTTATTTGAAACCAGGTAGTAATTTGGCCAATAGTTTTCTTATGGTCTTTTGATCTTTAAAAAACACGCCAACTGGAAACCTTGATTCTTTAGTGTTTCAGCTTGAAGCTAATTTAAGTTCGATCTAAAGCTTCTCATATCTAGTTCAGGAATAAAACTGACCTGAATTTTCTATTTTCTTTCTTCTTTTTGATTTTTTGATGAGATATCTTATATTTTGGTTGCATACTTCAGGTTATGCATGTCTATCATGCGAAGCGTGGAAGGCGCTTGAAATCAAAAGATAAAAACCAAGCTGTCGAAAATAGCCCTTCTCCATCTTATGGGAAAAGAAAAAGAGAAGCTCCCGTAAAGACCACTGGAAAAGGTGTCAGATCCAAAACAATAGATGGCCAGAAGGTTCTAAATTCAGATGCTAGTGATGCCTCAAATAGTGAGAATATTCTAAACACGATACAAGAAGACCAAACCTGCATTCCGATGAATCAACAAGAAGATGAAGAGATAAGGAATGTTACTGAAGATGAGGGTCAGTATTCTTCTCTAATCAACCGGTATGCAAGTTTGAAGACCACATCAACTCCTGCACAAAGATTTTCCTGGACAGATGAGGCGGATAGGTAAGCTTGACACGTCCAATGGAACTTCAGTAGTATAGCTATGTGTTTATATGAGTTGTGATAAAAAAATCAACGTGTTCTTGTTGCAAATGTCCAATGTGATGTTGGTTTTAGGAGTTTCTCTTAAGACTGTACCTCAAGAGTTCCATATGATTGAGTGTTCATTAATTCATACTTTAGGCATTCTCCTATCTGAGATAGGGTATTATAGCTGATTGGGTTACACCACTGACAAATATTCTCTGGTCAGGAAATTGTTGAGTCAGTATGTTAGACAACGCGCAGCTCAGGGGGCAAGATTTCATGGAGTAAACTGGGCTGCAGTTCGTGAACTGCCTGCACCTCCTTTAGCTTGCAAGCGACGGACTCAAACATTGATGAAGAATGATAAATTTCGGAAGGCAGTCATGAGGCTTTGCAATATACTTAGTGAGCGCTATGCAAGACATCTCGAGACGAAACAGAAGTGTTTGCCTGAGAGCAGTAGTTCACATCTTCTTGTTAGAACGGATTCTGGTTGTGTTGAGCATGGTAAAGATATTTTTTCTGATGATGAGAAATGGGATGACTTCAGTGAAAATAGTATACGTCAAGCCTTTAATGATATTCTTGAGCTCAAGAAGATGGCTAAACTGGTGGCCCCCAAACGTACGAAACCCAGCTCTCGGGAATGGTCAAACAGAGATATAGTTGATGAGGTGCATACTTTTTCTTCCTTTTCTTTTGTTTTTCACCATCCTTACAGTTGCTTCGTCTCACTTTGATATTTTCACTTTATTGCTACACTTCTGGAACCATTTGCCATCTCATTCACCCTCACCTGAAAGGTCTTCATTTCAATGGTTCGTCCTTTTTTTTGGCAATTTATGATAAACTAAAATTATGAACTTGCAGGGGAGTGAAACTGTTCCACTTGCTGCAATTCGCTCAGAGAACATTCAAAATCCTTGTGTGGATCAAGTTAAAGATACATCTCGACGATCAGGGCACTATCGTCTTCATCAAACTATTAACCCTTTAGATGGAGACGACAATGGTAATATACAAGTACGGAAATCTCTGGCAGTTTCTACTGCTGTAGAGCTGTTAAAGCTTGTCTTTCTGAGCATGCCCACTGCACTTGGTATGCCAAATCTGCTGGAAGATACATTAAGACGATATTCAGAGAGAGACCTGTTTACAGCCTATAGCTACCTCCGAGACAAGAAGTTCCTGGTAAAACTACTTATTACTTTCCTATTGTAGAATTGAAATTGCTGGCTTCTGGCATTTATTATATCATGCTTCTGGATTTTATGAAGATGCATATGAGGTGTCCATGTGAAACTCCGTGTTTGACTTTGATGTATTATGTTTTCTTCCTTTTGTTCGTACGATTTCGCTGTCAAAACCACATTGCGTATGTTTAGATGAGATGGTGGATACGAAAGACCTTCCCTAACCTCACTTTGATGTTTTCGTCTTAATATTCTATGTCAAAGCAAACTGAAGTTCATTGTTTTTATTAATACGTTCCAGGTTGGTGGAAGTGGTGGACAGCCATTTGTGCTTTCTCAGAACTTTTTACATAGTATGTCAAAGTCTCCATTCCCGGTTAATACTGGGACAAGAGCAGCCAAGTTCTCCAGTTGGCTTCTAGATAATGAAAGAGACCTGATGGCTGAGGGAGTCGCTCTCACTTCGGATTTGCAATGTGGCGATGTATTGAATTTCTTTTCACTGGTTTCGTCTGGTGAGCTCTCTATATCTGTATCCCTGCCGGAAGAAGGTGTTGGAGAGCCCGGAGATCGAAGAGGTTTAAAACGTAGAGCTGATGAGATAGAAGAACCCGAAGCTGATAGTGCTAAGAAACAAAAGCTACTCGGCGAAGGTGAAATCAATTTCCGAAAGGAAAAGGGTTTCCCTGGTATATCAGTATCTGTTCGACGTGTAAGTCTACAAACAGCTAACGCAATAGAGTTGTTTAAAGACGATGACTCTCGCACTGATGAACTTCACTTCAACCGGGGGGAAACAAATTGTGGCTGTGAACCTGATGATTTGAAGGAACTTTTCGACTCTACAGATGCTACCGTCATACCGAGTAGTCTAGGTGATTCTCCCTGGAAAGCGGTGGCCAATTATGCTAATGTTGTTATGGCCAAATCTGCAGGCGAGCAAGTGAGTGTATTCAGTCCTGGTGTTTTTGAAACCGTGTCCAATGCCCTTCAGAAGGCTGGTGACCAAGGTCTGAGTATTGAAGAAGTCCACCGTCTTATTGATATTCCAGGTAAAAGCATCAGGCAAATTGGAATATACGTATGCATGTGTAACTACTTTCTTCAGTGTTACTTTAACCTCTGCCGCTTGTTCATCTGCAGGCCAGGAAACTTCTGATTGTGTTGTAAATGTCCTTCAAACATTTCGGATAGCTTTGAAGGTTTCGTCTTTACATCTCTTATCTGACAGTCACTTAATACGGAACTTACTTAACAAGATGCTATTTATCCTTAACATTCAGGTAAATGGGTATGATAATTCCCGTCTTGTCCATTCCTTCTACCGATCGAAGTACTTCTTGACATTTGAGGAAGGTAAAACCTCAGAGGATAATCTTCAACGGCCTCTACCAGTGAATTACCTAGAGAAAGCTGTTGGGGAACATAGGTCAAACGATGCCTCTAGGATCAGCATTGCTTCACAGGACGAGCGTGAGCACGTTGCTGGTAACAGCGTTCACAAGGTTACGATTCTTAACCTTCCTGAAACTGCTCAAACAAGCGGTTTGCACGAAGCCCCATCTGTTACATTTGGAATGAGTTTTGGAGGTGAAACAAAGGAGCTGACTTGTGAGAAATCACCTATGCCTATATATCCATGGGTAAACGCAGATGGGTCCATAAATAAAATCGTCTTTGATGGACTTGTGCGCCGTGTTCTAGGTACCGTGATGCAAAATCCCGGTATACCCGAGGTAAAAAAATACTTCTCTCTTTTCCTCACTACTATAATGGTATCAAAGCTCCCTGAAATTATTAATCAATATCATTTCATCTGTGGCAGGACGAGATCATAAACCTAATGGATGTACTAAATCCCCAGGTAATTTACAACCCATCTGTATTGTAAACCCTTAACCTCTTCTCCAGTGGGTTCATATGCAGAAACTGATCATGATCTCTTAACGTTCGTCTTGTGTCTCTCTATATATGATCTGTGGGCGGTCTCTGATTAGCATTATATATGTATCTCTTTTGTAATGTCAGAGCTGTAGGAAGCTTCTGGAGTTGATGAGGCTCGATGGGTATTTGAAAGTGAGGGAAATGATGCAAACCAAGTTCACTGGTCCTCCGTCTCTGCTAACCAGTCTTCTCATAACCGGCCCCAAAACACCGGAGCTAATCAGCCGCAAACACTTGTTTGCTAACTCCAAGGGACTCTTTGCCTTATAAATGTAGTAACTAGTAAGATATCTCTTCTCACTATAAAGTCCAAAACGCTGTCATGAAATAAATTCACTTTTGTTTCTGGATTCAAATCTTCACGAATAATTTAATCGTTCTTGGTCGACCAGTTTTTTTTTAATTAAGTTTACTATTTGATCATTAGTTTATGGTACAAATAACTTCAAATTAAAAATAGGTTTGACTTCTAAATTTACTGATCTTAGACCAACTCAATCGAGGATGTTTTAGACCACCTCCATCGAAAGGATGTTGTAGGGATCTTAGCCCAAAAGAAAATTTAAATTAAAAAAAATTCAAAAATTCAAAGAACCGTGTTTTATTTGAGTTTTTTTTTGGAGTTGGTAAGAGGCGCATACGTGACACTCTGAGATTGCACCGCATGTGTATTGCTAGGCCTATGTATTGCTTCTCTCTCTTCTTCGTGGTTTTGACGAAATTGTATTTTCTCGTAGTGTCGTCTTTCAGTTGATCTTTTGACTCAAGTATCTTTGTCGGTCCATCTTCTCTGTTCATAAAAAATTTTGTTTGCATGTCTTGTTTGTGTTCTTGAGATTGATGAATGTGTGATGTGATTGTGTTGTCCATAAGGGTTTATGTGAAATTATTGTGATCTCATCGTTTTGTCGAGAAAGACGAAATTTTTTTGAGATATGTTTTACAATCTTAAATCAGGTTCATGTTTTAGAACTTGTTTGTGTTCGATCTTTGTTTGTGTTCTTTAGATTGATGAATGTTATCTGATTGTCTTCTTGTCCGTAACTGGAATAATCTCGGCTCAAAGTGGAATGTGGTTCAATCGGATCACATTCATATGGAATAGTTTTTGCTGTAAATAAAACCAAATATTCAATGGGTTCTAACATGATTCATGATTCATACATTACGTTCATAGATTAGTGTAAGCTTTACTTGATCAAACCTCTGTTTTCTCATACATATTTGTCTGTTATTTCTTTGTTGGTTGTGTATAAGGGTTGGTGTTGTGTGGAAGAGGCAGTGGAGTGTTGGATCCCACGCGAGTGTCTCATAAACGGCTACAAGGTCGAGCTCCAAAAGTGAATTACAATGACAACAGACACGAGTACCATTTGGCTTATTATCTCACATATAATATTTATCCAAAATAGGCTATTTTGTCCAATCGATTCCACTTCCACAAATTCACAAGGTCCGAAAGCATCCTTATTCGCTATACATCAAGAAGTTGTTCGTAAAGATGTCGAGCGTGCTTTTGGGTATTACAAGCTGGATTTGCCATAGTCAAAATTCCAGCTCTTTTGTGAGATAAAATAAAATTTGGAAAAATAATGAGAGCATGCATCATTCTACATAATATGTTCGTTGAAGACGAACGAGATAAGTACAATCAATTTGATGTATTGGTTTTCGCACAACCGGATTCAAACCGAAGTTCACAAGTGGATTTCTTCACATATTCTACGAATATGCCTTCAAATCTCGGCAATATGATGAGCATTTAGAATCGGATTCGTGATAAAACAATACATCATCAATTGAAAGCTGATTTGATTGAGAATATATAACAAAAATCTGGAACAAATCAAGATTTCAACTAATCGATTTTTTCTCGTTTACGATTTGTATTTTTATTTTCAATATGCTTTTATGTCATTTGTATTAAATTTGTAATGCATGTTTTTATTTTAAATCAATCTACTTACAAAAAATTACTAAGAATCCCTATGAAGTTCTCCCATTGGAGGACGAAAATAATTTTAGCACTAACCAAAGCTTTAAATTTTCAAATCACCATATTAACTCTTAATTTATTATTAAAAGCCCAATGAAAGTCCCAATAGATGGACATACTCTTAGTTTTTGTTTTCGAGATTGTGTTATTAATGAGTAAAAGTACTTTTTATTCAAATAATAATAATTATAGTTTTTTTGGTGAATTAAAAATGGGAAAATCTATACTATTAAAAGAGAAGGAGTCTAAATAAATCTACTTAAAAAAGTTGTTTAGACCCTTTCATTAGATTAACATTTTTTAGTCTTTCCTTATATTTTTCTAACTATATAAATACTTTACAATTTAAATAAACTCATTTATTACTTTCCATAATCTATTATAAAATTTCTCTAACAATAAATATTCATGATATTATAACTATGACACCTTTAATTAATTATAAGCAATCAATTATTAAATTTTGATATTACATACTTATACAAGAACTAAATGATTAATTTTCTGATATATTAAAATTAAATGGGTCTAAACATTATAAGTTGGAGATTCTAACAAAATTGATCAAAAAATTGATTTAAATAAGATATGTTTATTTATTTTACATGATATATCTTTATTTAATTTTAAATATAAACTATCCTACGATTTAAATATCAGATAGGTTAAATATTTTAATAAAAATATTCAGGTAATTAATTGATTTGTCTAATTTGGTTTAAAAATAGTATTTAAAGTTATTTAGTATTTAGATATTATATATAATTAATATTTCTAGGTATATAATTTATATAAAAAAAAAGTACACATTTGGTTCTCAGTTTGATTTCTATTTTCAGATTCTAGAGACATGTGATATTATCGATTATTATGAAATTTGGCTTAATTTAACTTCTTTTAAATTTTTTAAAAAATTTAAAAAAAAAATTAAGTATCCATTTGTGCATAATCGGAAAAATGGAAACCACGCTTCTCAATGGGTTAATAACAATATTTTGTTTTAAGATATTTTTACCATATTCTTTTTATTAATTTTTACAAGACTGAATTAAAATAATAAAACAAATTTAAAATATTATAGATATCTAATAATAGATATAAATTCATTATATATTTGACTTTACGGTCAGTAAAAATATAAGAAGCGTGGGTCAAAATCTAAATTACTTCATCTAAAAGTTAATTTATTACGGCCAACTATTTAATTTACCTTAATTATATCAACCAGAAAAATCTAAACTGCACCTACTTATATTTTCTACCATGATTTTGGAAACCTAAATTGATTACAAAATATTCTTTCATATATTCTCTTAACCTAAATTGACAACAACCCTCTCCTTTTATAAATACAAGCTATCTCGGACCTCTTTTACCATCAACTCAATCAAATTCAAAAACAGCATCAAAACCCATCAAAGTATCTATTCTGAAATATTTGATTTTACGATCAACAAAAAAATACCCGCGCTTCTTAAGCGCGGGTCAAAATCTAGTTGTCATTTAAATCACCAACTTTTAAATTTGGTTGAAATAAAGCACCAACTTTTTCATAAGCCAAAAAACCACTCAACTTTTGTTGGTAAGCCATTTTAATCACAAACTTTCTTCGACCATATCAATTTAGGCATATCGTTAGTCAACAGTTATAGTTGACTAACGGTAGGTCTAAAATGGCTTTAAAAGTTTATGTTTTTTTGGCACAAATATAAATCAATATTTTTTACAATATTGGATATATTTTAAACATTGAAAATATTTTTATAACTGAAGCACTAATAAATAAAATTATAAATAAAAAATCCAATTATAATATAAATAAAACTCAATGTAAAATAATTAGTTAACATATATTAATTAAGTATCTTGGTTATAGAATGATAAGAATATTTTAATTATTTACGATTACTTTTTGTAAATATTTATATAATCCTAGTTGAATTATGTTTTATAATTTTATTTTTAGAAGTTTGTTGATGAAATATTAATTCAACTATTGTTTCTTAAATGAAAAAGTTATCGATTAACGAATTATTCATGATTCTTTAAGTTTATAATAAAGATCTTCAAACAAATCTATATATTTTCTATAAAATTTTTACAAGAGGTTTTCTGCATTTAAAAACAAGAAGTTTCACTAAAATAAATAACTCTTTTTTTTATCCGATAACTCATTTTGTTTAAAAAAATCAAGAATTGAAGTGATATTTTACTAACAAATTTTTAACAGTAAAGTTATAAAACACAATCCGTGTAGGATTATAAAAATAGTTTTTAAAAATTATCGTAAATAATTAAAAAAAATCATAATCATTTTTAACTAAAATACTCAATTAAGGATATGTTAATTAATAATTTTACATTGAGTTATGTTTATATTTTGAATGGAATTATTTTTTATTTACAATTTTATTTATTAGTGTTATAGTTATTAAAAGTTTCAATATTTAAAAGCCAATATTTTGAAAAATTGTTGATTTATATTTGTGCCAAAAAAAACACCAACTTTAAAAGCCATTTTAGGCCTATCGTTAGTCAATTATAACTGTTGACTAACGATATGCCTAAATTGGTATGGTCGAAGAAATTTTGTGATTAAAATGGCTTGTCAACAAAACTTGAATGTTTTTTTGGCTTATGAGAAAGTTGGTGTTTTATTTCAACCAAATTTGAAAGTTGGTGATTTAAATGACAATTTTCCCAATTAAAAATTCATATAAAAAAAATTCTGGTATAGAGTAGGATAGTAGTCTCAATAATCCTTTTTAACTACCTACTAGATTTTTGATCCGCGTTTAAAAAGCGCCGGGTACCATTTTATTGTTTTATCTACAGATGGATCGATAAAATCTTTTGCTTTGATGATATAAAATGTCACTATCTAATATAACTTTTTAAAATTAATGTAGATTTTAATTTATTGTTATCATTAATATCTAACTAAATGTATTGTATGTAATTATGTAGTTTTATTTTGGGAAAATAATATCAACTAACTACGTCTGGTGCTGGGAAGCGGGTCAAACTCGGCCCGTTCAACCCGCCTGACCTGCAAAGAAAATATATTTTATCCATATCCGTTCCACTTAATTTTGCGAGTAATCTACGGGATCCGCGGATAATTATTAAATAATAAAAATAATTATTTTTTACTAAAAGATAATATTGAATAGTATATTTTTAATTAAATTTTTAGTACTTTAAAAAAAATATTCTTAAGGAAATTTAGTATATTTTTGAAAATAAACTTAAAAAGAAAATTCTATTTTTGCGGATTACTGGGTACCCGCAATTGAAATTAGAACAATCTATATCCGTCCCACATAAAATACATTTGACCCGCACTCGTAATTTATTTTTCTCAAATCAATCCGTTTCGTGGCAGGTCAAACAGGGTGGGACTCGCGGCTGATGAATTTATTTTTAAAAGATACTTCAGAAATAATTAGAAAGTGAATTTGACTCATTAATAAAACCCATCAATATATAGTTTTTAGGTCAAAAATGAAAAAAAATAATTTTATTCATAAAAATAAGGTTATAATTAAAAACATAAAATATTCATTAAACAGAATGTTAATGTTCTAATAGTATTGATATCAGAGTTTCCCTTTGTTGCCTTATCTTAGAAAACAATTTCCTTTTTTAAGGTTGCGTTATTTCCTTTTTCCAACGTCAAAGTATTTCTTATATAAAATAAAGAGCGCATACGCTTTCACTAAACACCAAATTAAGAGCTTTGCTTTACAATCTCTCTCCAAGTTTGTTCTTAAATTCATCTCTTTCGTTCAATAATTGGTACGAGAGAGGAAACATGGCGATAGAGAAACAAAAGTACTCTCGTTCGGATGACGAATTCTGTTCTCTCGTTTTCCAGACATTCATATCTTCTACAGATGCAATCATCACCATCGACAAAGAGGAGGATGAAACCCTAGAGTCGAAGAAAAAGAAGTCAAACAACCTCGTTTCTAACTCGTTGGTGCCTTCTACTTGTACAGTCATCATCATTGACGACGATGATGAAGAGGAAACCCTAGATTCTAAGAAGAATAAGAAGAGAAAAAACCTCAATTCTAACTCGTTGGTACCTTCGACTAATTCAGTCATCAACGACGAAAAAGATACCCTAGAGCCTAAACAGAAGAAGCCGAGATTAGGGTGTTGGTGGGACGAGGTTGATGCCTTCGACGAATTAAGTTGCGTGGTCAAGGGGTTACCAAAGTCGAAGAATGATGCTGCATCAGTTGTGGATTCACGGTTTTCTTTAACCAATCTTCCGGAGACAAAGCCGAAGGAGGGTTACAGTGATAGTGTTACTGGTGACAACAAGGGAATTCAAGATCGTTCAGGATATAGCCACATGTCGCTTGAGGATTCAGGTATCTCGGTGGAAGATCCAAGTCTTGGCGGCTACGTCAGTGACATCATATCTCCTATTGATTCCTGTTTTTCTTCTTCTTCTTCTCGTCTTCAAGAGACAGAGGCAAATACAAACAAGAATGACGAGAGATCATTATCATCATCAAATCATCATGGTAATAACTTCATTCGTTTTAGAGAGGACGAGATTGTCGGCGAGAGTAGTACCAATATCAGTAATAAGGGCCATCGACATCTCTCGCTTGAGGAGTTGGGTGTTTCAGTTGAAGATCTCAAGAGTATGCCATGGGAAGCCTTTGATCCGACATGGGAGATTAGGTCAGAGACCATGGATCCATGGCTTGGTGGCTACATCCAGGACATGTTCTCTGCTCATTAACCACCTTTGTTTCGTTGTTATTTTTCTTTCCTTTAATCGCTTCTTAATTTCCTTATATGTAAAATCAACGTCAATTTGATTGATCTTGTTACTCATATGTTCATCTTGCATTCAAAACATATATGGGAGATTTGATATTTCTATTTGCGATCACTTATAAGCTCCATTTAGTTATCTAGAATTTTTGTAAAAGATACTAACAAACAGTATACTAACTATACGGGATAAAATATTTTATAATTATTTTTAATATTTAATACATGTTACTAATTAAGATATTATAATAACAAGTTACTGTTTATGTTTTCATTTAAAAATTCTCACGTATTATAAATATTTTGAAAAAAAAATTTACACTATTAATTATTAGATCTTTGAAATCATTCAATATTTTCTTTTTAGTTATGTGTTTTATTTGATTAATCTATAAAAAAATTTTACTAAAAGATATTTTCGGATACTAATATATATAAATTATCTTTGTTTTTTAGTTTTGGATAATTTAATTATATTAATGCTGATCACGTATCTAAATTTATTTTTGGAGAATTTCACTTATACCACTTTGGTGATATCACTTTTCATTTTTACCATCAACAAATGAACATTTTCAAAAATACACATTTCATTAAAGGATAAAATACTCTTGTACCCTTCTTCTTTATATATTATATGAAATAAATATTTAAATAAATAAAAAACACAAAAACATCAATACTAACCTTTAAACCCTAAAACATCAATTCTTAACTCTAAACCCTAAAACATCAATTTTTAACCCTAAACCCTAAAATCAACCCTAAGCCCTAAAAAATCAATTCTAAACCCTAAACTCTAAACCCTAAACCCTAAAATATCAATTCTAAACCCTAACCTCTAAGCCCTAAATTATATACCCTAAACTCTAAATTCGAAACCATAAGCCCTAAATTATAAACCCTAGACCCTATCTTTGAAACCCTAAATCTTACATTCTATACCCTAAACCCTAAATTCTAAACCCTAAACCCTAAATGCTATACCCTAAACCCTAAACTCGAAATCCTAAACTCTAAATTCTAAACCCTAAACTCGAAATCCTAAACCCTAAATTATAAACCCTAAACCCTAAATCTAAACTCTAAACCCTAAATTCTTAACTCATCATAAATTCTTAACTTAAACCCTAAATTCTAAACTCTAAAACGTAATCCATCAAAATCTTATTAAAATTGTTAAGTTTATTTAGTTAATGGTATAATAGTATTTTGCCTATTAAAATTTTAATGGTAAAGTTGGTTAGTGTAAAGTTGAAAAATGATATCTGAAAATGTTATTTCTGGCAATTTCCCATTTTTTTTTTAGTTTTTTTTTTCATTTTGGTTAATTTTTGTTATATTAATTTATAATCAATAATCTAATCGTTTATTAAAGTAATAACAACATTAACAGTCTAACTTTTAACGTAAGAACTCGAATTCAAAAAATCACTTATCAAATAATAGTATATATAACTGAATATACAAAAAAAAACATAAACCCAAATCGATGCAGTATAAATCTTAATTTTAAACTAATACTAGATCTAGGGTTTGTCTTTAGCCGGATCTGGGTCAGATCTGCTTCGGAGGGTCCGCCGGAGTGGCAGGGCGTCGCTGCCTCCGCTCCTCTGGTCAATCTGCTGCCTCCACTGCCTTCTCTTGTCTCTTCTGCCGGCTGCTATTGTAAGAACTTACCCGTCTAGTACCTTTGGTCTACGATGAAAAGGCGTTGTTGAGGCTTTCGCCGGGGACTTCTTCCCGTTCTGATTTCGCAGCAGTCACCATGGCGTCTTCTTTGGCTTCGGTTCTGTCGATGGTTCGAGATGTCTCAGGGTTCGTGCCATTCCTCTGCTCTGTCTCCGCTACTACTGATGGGTCTTTCCTGTGTTTTCGCTTGTTGATGGGAGCTTCAAGCTCCTCCGCCCTTCAAAGTTTCAGAAAGAAGATGTTTGCCGTCTTCCTGCCGTTCTCGATGCTCTGTTGCCGGAATCTTTTAGTGCTCTGCTCGTGGGTTGGGACCGGAGTTGAGCCGATAAAACCTCCGCTTCGAACTGCTAGTACATCACCTGTGCCTCAACTGCTGGTTTCTTTGTGTCTGTCCGGATTCTCAGGGAGTAGCTTATCGTCTTCTGGGGTATATCAGCGTCCGGAGTGGACTTCTTTGGGTGTGATAGCTGGACCAGGGATTGCAGCCCCTGCTTCGCCTGTTTCAGCCTTTATGGAGTCGCCTTAGGGACGATCCGCGGCTCCTCGGATTGTTCTCCGGTTGCTTTCTCCTTTGATCATTGTTCTTGTTGCAGGCTCCGGTGTCAAGATAAAGCAATGATCTGCTGAAGCTTAATAGCTGCTCGTGGAGTCTTATTATAGCCAAGCTTTAATTATAATCTTTGGATTGTGATTAAACTTTTTTTGTATTAGAGAGTTTTTTAGCTTTTTTTGGGGCTCTCTGAGACACCACTGCTTTGATTAGCTAATTAGATGCAATAGGATTTGATCTCATCAAAACACATTGTATCTCCTTGTGTCGTTACATCGTTAATGAAAATTCACATTCTTATCAAAAGAAAAAAAAAACAATTTGTTTCTTCATGCCTCTATAAAGTCCTAAAGTCCCTAAATCATTCATAAAAATACATCATTTGGTATGTTCCGTCTTTCAATCTATTTATGTATTCTTCAGTTGATTAATTGTGTTTGCAAGAAGGAAGTATCTATAATGATTAATAAACTTATTTATGTGTCTTTATAAAGATTTATAAAACCAATCATATGAATATAAAAAAACAGTTTTGTAGATAAACCATTTATAATAGTTATAAAAAAATTATGAACCATTATTTATATATTTGTATAAAGTTATCTATAAAGTTTATAAAACACTTCAAATATTTATCAAACTATTTATAAGGGTTTATAAATTAATTTATAAGAATTTATATTTGTTAATAATGTATGTGGATTAATTGTGTTTGCAAGAAGAAAGTATCTATAATGATCAATAAACTTATTTATGTGTCTTTATAAAGATTTGTAAAACCAATCATATCTCTATAATATTATTTGAGAAGTCACTTTCCTACGTGTCGCGCTCACGCTAACTCTCACGATGGTTGATTACATAGATACCCTTAATGAATTATTTGATTTTAAGATTATTATTAATTTTTGATTTAGTTTCTTTTTTACTTTTTTCCAAATAACATATATAATAAAAAGGAATTATTTCTAAAATTTTTAAAAAAATTTAAAAACGAAAATATATGTATGTAATATGACTTTATTAAAAAGGAAAGTTCACAAAATAGTAATACCCTCATTAATATATATTTTTAAATAACATAAAATATATTTTCAAAATAATAAAAATATATCTGTTCATGAAGATTCAAAAACTTACCAGTTACACTTTATTTTCTAATATTCTTTAGAAATCAATATATGATTTGATAAATATTATGAAAATACATGTATATTTAAGCGATAAGTAAACTAATTTGAGTTGACTTAACTAAAATAAAGAGTAAATAAATATTATGAAAACACATGTATATTTAAGCGATAAATAAAAATAATTTGATTTGACTTAACTAAAATAAAAAGTAATTATACTTCAATTTTAATTTAAAAATATATTTAACTCAATATACTCCAAAATAAATGACTCGGATAATCTAATTTATATCCAAAATTAAACATCTAACTACAATAAGAACATATAATGTTATAATAATAGTAATAATAATAATCTATTTAATTTTATACATATAAATTAGAGGTTGACCCAAAGCATATTAAAAAGAAAAAAATATTAACCAGTTACAATTTAATTCTTTTGTAGAGTTTATATATATGCATGAGACTTCAAAATATTATCATTATATTCATTTATGTAATTTTGAATCGAACACTTCAGTTTATTATTTATTTCATTTTAAGCATAATATATATTAAGTTATACATAATTTAAGTATAATATATTTACATATCTAAGACAATAACCAACTGAAATGAAAATAAGAAAATTAATCAAAGTTTTATTATATTTAGAATAAAAAATATTATAGCTGAACTCGAAAAACATATATTATCTAATATACCAAATTGATAACCAAACCTACTATTGAACCAAAAGATAATTAAATCGATAATAATATATCCAAAGTCATAAAATTTATTCAAAACTAAAATTAAATATCAATCAATTATTATAAAATTTTACTTTTATGAATATTTATACCCGTACATAAGCACGGGAAAATCACCTAGTAACTATAAAAAAAACAGTTTTGTATATAAACCATTTATAATAGTTTATAAAAAATTATGAACCATTATTTATATATTTGTGTAAAGTCATCTATAAAGTTTACAAAACACTTCAAAATATTTATCAAACTATTTATAAGGGTTTATAAATTAATTTATGACATGAAACCAAACACATCACTACATGGAAAGATTTAAAACAAGATTATTACACATCCATTGAAATATTAAGACTGGGTACTAGTCCTGGATTTGGGTTCATCCATCTCCTCTCCCTCATCGACATCTTCTCCACGGTTTCTGTGACCTCCTTTGCGACCCATCTGCTGATACCCTTCACTTCCTAACTGCTCTTTCCTCGTATTCCCTCCTCTGGCCCTCCCTTTAACATAATATCAATCCCATTAATTACTATAGAGTCTACAGTTATAACTTGAAGCATACACAGACATGTAATGAGCAAGAGATAGATACACCTTCAGTGAGATGCTGTTGAGCTTCAAAGCTTTTGCCTCCAGTACCACCTGGCACGACGGTCTCACAGCACCGCCAATTCTTTGAAGTGAGTAACCATGAAACAGCCTTGAATCACTTGCACTCGTCTCCTTCAGCTTCTTCTTTATATAACTCACTGAAAATCACTTCACTGACTTGTATCTCAATCTTCCACCTTAGTGTCGTCTCTGATTTTTCTCAGAAAACCCTGCAACTTTCCTCTGACCAACAGCAAGCGTCAAACCACATGTATAAACATGTTCACTTCACCCATATACTGCTTGAACGTGGTGTACCTCTTATTCTCAGCTTGCTTGTCTTCTTTACATGATAGACACATGAACCTGATTCAACAGTGAATGTGGAACCTCTTAACTCCTCTTCGAGGAAACCTTAAGTGTACTGTTCCAGGTGGGAGACATTTCTCAGACCACACATCAACTTGACCACACTCGTTCTAAAACCCCAAACACACACAAAAAAAAAGATTTTTACAGATTCCATTGAAGTGAATAAAGACTGAAATGAAGGTGCTTTTACCTTGGGAACAATTCCATTAACAGCATGAGGGAGGCACAATGGTTCCATCTGCCACCTACCGTATAGTTCCATGCACCGAGTACCATCTTCACCGTCCTTGTTCCCATCTCCAAAATCTTTTACTTTTCTTATCTTTGTGTTATGCTTAAGAATCTAGTGTGATAGTGGACATCAAGATAGGGAATGAATAAAGATAAATCATCAGTGAGAAAAAAACACCTATATCAGGCTCATGACCATGGTCAGTATCTTGTATTTTGGACTTCCTTTTAGTTTCTTCTGGGAGGAGCTTTCCATCAGACTTATGATGCTCTTTAGTAGTTCGGTCTTCTCTCTGCTTTTTCACCTGTCTGTTTGACGTCTTCTCCCTTGTCTTCCACGTATTTATCTCTGGACTTCTCTCCTCTGTGTTTTCCATCTTTAATGTAGTCATCATCACTGTTATCTTGATTTTTCTCTCCAACACCATGATCATCCCTCTTACGCCTTGATCGCTTCTCAGTATGGGTTTCAGTGCCTAGACTCCTTTGCTGATCCTCACCTTTCGACTCTGAATCCAAAAATAAACTTAAAGATCAATAAACCCAATGAAAGATAACCTTTTGCAGTTTCCAAAATCCTTCTGTTATATAAAACATCTAACTAAATAGCGTTTGCAATTTTTTCATATAAGTTTTTAATTAACCAGTTACATACTGCCTCGAATATTATAACAGTCAAAGCAACACTAACTCCATATATCTGCAAGTGCTAATCAAAACATTGATCCAAAAGACTACACTTAGGTATGTAAAGATTCCCATTACTAGAAAAGGTGTCATGTAAGTTTATTATCCACAATTCATACACAAACACGAGAGACAACAGATGGATCTTCACAGGCTCAACCAAAAATGTGTCTCAGAAGCAACATCAAAGATAAGCAATCAAGTCAAATAAAACCAGAACAATGATTTATACACAAGCACGAGGGAAACCAAATGGTTCATGACAGACCAACCAAAAATGTGTCTCAAAAGGAACATCAAACACAAAGTCACAAACTCAAGTCAATTAAAACCAGAATGTTTAATTCATACACAAACACAAGAGAAAAAAAAAAAGAATCTCGAAAGACTGCAACTAAAACTGTGTCTCCAAAGCAACATCCAAAGACATAAACTAAAAGGCTTTGGGATTATCATACCAGTTTTATCAGAGGAACCCTTAGATCTATGGTGATCATCACCATCATAAAGCTTCTCACTTTTACTCTTCTTCGAACTCTCCCCTTTCTCATCCTCCCCACCCTTCCCTCTCCTCCTCTTCGAAGATGATGACGTGTACTCCTCACAGTACTCTCCATTATCGTAATACTCCTTTCGCTTCTCACCAGAAACCCTAATCTCGGCGCTGCTACTACTCTTCTTCTCCTCATTCTCCGAATCAGAGTGGTCTCTCGTGTCCTTGTTCTTGCTCGATTTGTGCCTTGTGCTCCTCGGCATCTCTCTCCACAATCGACAAAACCCCCAAAACTTCGATTTCGAAAATCGGAAACCCTAATTTGAGGCTTGGTGACGGGAAACGGTGCGAGACTTCGGAGATCCGAGATAGATGATAGTTAGGGGTATAATTGTATTTTGCATATCAAAAATTTAATTGTAAAGTTGATTAATGTAAAGTTGAAAAGTGATATTTTGAAAGTGTTATTTTTAGCAATTTCCCTTTTATCTTAATGTATTTTTTAGATGTTAATTTCCACAAATTAAAAGTTAGTAATGAACACACAATGCCTAATATTTATAAGTATAACTTAAGACTAGGATAAAACCCGCGCCTTGCGCGGGATGAAGCTATTATTTTTATTATATTTTGAAAAATAAAACAATAGTTCGCTTTCATTCGGATTAAAGGTGTTCAATCCGGATATCGGATTTCGGTTCGGCCCAATTTTTTGGTATTTCGATTATTAAAATATAACTACTATTCTAAATCTATATGTACTTCAGTTTGATTTGGTTTATATACCATCGGTTTTCATTTTATTCAATTTTATACCAAAAAACATGATTATTTAGTGTGAGATCATATTATATATTATACAAATATATAATATGACCATATTTAGAGTCATATTGTCACAGAGTCATTTATTAAAAAAAATATTATATATTTAAATAAAAGAATAAAAAAAGGTTTTTATCATCTAATAAAATGATCAAATCTAGAATTAATATCAAAACACTAAATTTTGAAAATAAAAATAAAAAACAAAACAGAAGCAGGAAATAAAAGTTTTTATATTCTTCTATATTTAGTGTTCATCAAACCAATATGTCTTCGATTGAACACAACTCTGTTTGTTTAAAGATTAAAAAAAGTTGTAAAGAATTTCAACTAATTGTTATCCATCAAATTTATAATCTTTACTTCAATTTAGTTACTGTTAAAAAAAAAGATCAAAATAAGAAGTCTAAATTGTAATAAATTGTTAGCTATTTACAAATTATAATTATAGTTCAACTCATGTAACAAATAGATATTCATGCGTCGTTATAAATATATATATATATTATTATATTTACATGTTTCAGTTTAATCGGTTATAAATCAAACCAAATCCAAATCCTATGGTTTTTATGAAATCATCCTACGATTTGCATATATTAATTTTTCCATAAATTCCCAAGTTAACATATTAAGTTTTACATTACTGACAGAAGTTTATTCATTTTACATATACTTTACCACTAAGTTTGAACTTGGTCACAAAGTATTTTCCATTTTACATATACACTTGCGTAAATTAAAAGGAATGAAGTTATAGTTAATCGTCACATCTCTCAATTACCTACTATAATTATGATTTCTTATCTTTTCCTTTTCTTCCTTGTCATGTATCAATGCGTGTGATATATTAATGTAAACTCAGTTTGATGCGTGGGATATATATTAATGTAAACTCGGTTACATGCGTTACATGCGTTTGTAATTATTGTTTCCCTAGCAAATTTCAATTGAACCTAAAACTGCCACATCAGTTTAATTGGTATGCTAATTGATTGACAACTAAGCAAGATTACTTTTTAATTATTACAAACTTGAGGTTACATCTTTTCAAATGTTTCTCAATTAATATATAGGGGATGCCTATAATATCATATTTATACTTCAGACCAGATTAGGAATCTGAAATGTTCAATAGGTACGGACCTAATAAATGTTGATTTCTTGACTAAAGAGGTTCCATTATTAAACCAAATGGGGAAATAGGCATCTAACATCTGGAAATTGGGGTTGCTGCGCGTTACATCGAACCTGCTCAACTTGTAGACTGACCATTTGCTGAGACGCTGCCTGAACATGAATTGACGGTTTACATTGACAGAACCTTGAATAGCCATCAACTGTTAAAAAGGAAGTTTTTTTTTGTTTTTATAGACAATTATAATGGAACCCATCGTCAACACCGTTAATCGGAAAGGAGATGCTTACAATCTTTGAGTAAGAAAGATCAATAAAAATGATTAGTTTTACAATTGTTAAAGCTAAAGATGAAAATATAATGTAAATTGAAAGTAAGAAAAAAGAAATTAAAATAAAGAGATGTATTTTTGAGTTGAATAAAATTTTAAAATATAAAATAAAAAATTTTAATAAATTTTATACAAATAAAACAGTTTATTTTGATTTAATATTAAATCTGACATTAATATTAAGTATATATGTCTAAAATAACGACATTGCGTTATTTGAATTTTTTTTAAAAAATAAAATATTATTTTTTCTTTTATATACAATTAGTTAATGAGATTTTAATTAAAAATTATGTTTTAAAGTAATTTAAAATTAATAGATTTTTAACCTATGCTTAGTTTTAATAGAAAAAACTTAGTCCAATGAATTAGTTTTTAAATAAAATGAGTGATAAAGTGTGATTTGTTATTTGACAAAATTTTGAGAGAAATTGTTTAAGAGATTATTTGTTGGTGTATCCTAAATGGATTTCTAATTAGAGTTTTATCCATGATGTGACTATTACAAAATAATGACTAAAATGCCCTTGGTTTCTCTTTCCTATTTCGGGTTATACCCATAGACATGTCAGCCTAATTCTCTCTCTTCTCCTTCGTTTTTATCAATGCTCTTCTCTTCTCTTATCATTTTAGAATGAATTACATGCATAATAAATATGTTAAAACATTTTTTTATTTTGAGTTCACTTTGATTCTTAAATAATAATTTTTAATTTTACATTTACTCAATGTGATTGGAAAATACAAAATTCAGTGATACTTATTTGTTAACAACTAATACATAACACTTCTATTAAGATATATAATTTTATAAATATCTAACACTTCTGTTAACACCTCTGATACGTATACTTGTTAACAACTAACACATCTGTTAACATCTGGAACATGTATTTGTTAACAGCTAAAACCTCTGTTAACATCTACATTATTTGTTAATTTGTTAACCGTTAACAAATTTGTTAACAATCGACACTGGTGATTATTAACAGAGACATTAACTGTTAATAAATTTTGTGAATGTTAACAATTGTGTTAGCTGTTAACAAATACATGTAATATCAAATTTATAACAAATTGTAGATTTTAGAGATGTTGAGATCTTGCAATCAATTGTAATTTATGTTTTCAATCATATCAAATGTTAAATTATTTTATCTATTAAAATATTTTGATATTATATTTTCAAAAATATTATTATTTGATAATATTGTTAGCATTCAAGAAAAACCTAGCAAACATGTGGACATAAGTGATGTAGGTATAGGTAATATGACTGTCACTTCTCTATAACCATCACAAAAGTATGTCAGTTGCCGAATGGCAATTTTGTCCAAAACCAAACAAAAATGTATGTTTTCATCTCTAATTATCACTCAATGGGTATGTCACTAATTTGACCCTCCATTTGGGACAAATGGCTAATTCTCTCATTGTTTAAACTACCATTTTTAATATATATTTTCATATTTATCTTTATAAATTTATACTTAGTCCTAGAGAGAAAAATCATACTATATATTAATTGAAAGTTACTCAAGTATATCGTTAATAGGTTAAAAAATTTAAAATAGTTATAATTTAATTAGTTGTTGACTTTTATTAGTTATTTATTTTATGAAGATCTAAAAAATAAAAGGTAACTATAGAAGTAACTGATTCAAATTACCAAATAACACAACGGATATTACAAATAATGATTTACGGTAATTTATTACAGAATTAGTGAAATAATTATATGTTTTATCAATTCATTTATTTTTATCAAATTAATATATTTCCAGTTGTTCACAAATATTAAAAATACATGATAGATATCAGTTATAAATATATTTAATTATTTTATATGAGTAATAAAATTAAAGTACATAATGTTTTTGAAATGTTGACAAAAAAAAAGAAGTACATAATGTTTTAAAATTAATTTGGTTTAAACATTTATTATTCATAGACTTTAAAAATCAAGACTGGACATAAATAGAATAGTGTCTCTCGTTTCTGGCCATTTCGATGCTGCTGAAAATGAAAAGGCGCTTCCTTTCCTCTCTTTCTGCTTCCGCCGGCAATAGTAAAACCCTAAATCAAGGGGGATGGAGTGTAAAGCAGGTCAAAAAATCCAACTTCAAATCAGCTCTTGACGAGTTCCGCACTTCCATCGACTCTTCGGACTTCGTAGCTGTCTCCCTAGAGAACACCGGATCCCACGCCGCCGCCTGGCACCGAGTCTCCGCCATTGATACACCGCAGACGAGTTACTTGAAGGCTAAATACGCCGCCGAACGCTACCAGATATTCCAGTTCGCTCTCTGCCCCTCCTCCCTTCACGGCTCCAAGCTCACCCTTCACCCGTATGATTGATTGATTGATTGATTGCCAACTCTCTCTCTCTCTCTCTCTCTCTCTCTCTCTCTCTCTCTCTCTCTCTCTCTCTCTTCTTCTTTACTGCAACTTGATTGATTATGGTTTTTTTTTTTTGTAGATATAACTTCTATTTGTTTCCTCGAGATGAGTTGAAGTTAGGGATGCCTTCTTATAGCTTCTCTTGTCAAGCTTCTCGTTTAACAGCCATGGCTAGGGATGGATTTGATTTCAACACCTGCATCTATGAAGGTTTATTACTCCTACTCAATCTCTCAGTTTTGGAGTGGTCTCTTAATGAATGATAGTTTTGATGGACAGGAATCTCATACTTGTCTAGAGAACAAGAATCTGCCTCCAAGTTTCTCTCAGGGAATCCGATATTACCTCATCCCATCGCTCTACCTTCTTCTCCATCCACTGTCGCTGATACCGTCTTTGTTGGAAGGATACGGTCACGCGTCAAGAACTGGAGACAGTCTTGTATAGATTCCAGCTCAAAGACAGGAGATGGTGCACTTGCTTGTGTTAAGACACTTTCAATATGAATCTTTTTTGCCTTAAAGTTTTGACAGTGTTTTTTCTAATATGACGCATCTGTTTTGTTGATTTTCAGATGATTTGGTGAGCTCTCTCAGGAAACTGGTGCTGGGGAGTGAGCAGTATGGTTCAAGGCTATGTTTGACTATTGATGTCTGCAGTGAGCGTCAAGTGCAACTTATCTTAGAGGTAAGATTAAGCTTTGTTGATACTTTGGCACGAGGGTTGCGGTCTGTTTTGATAAGCTTTTATATTTTGTCAACACAGATGTTGACTGAGTTCTCTGACGATGTTGTCCCTCTACTCATCGCTTCTAAGAGCAGAGGAACACAAGCAGTTCGTGCTGTCTTCATGAGTTCAAAGGACGACAAGGATCTTTTTAAGGTAGGGAGTTTAATTAATTGGATATTCATCCAGTATGACTCATAATGATAGTGAAGGTCTCTTTAAATAAAATGTATTTTCATGGGCAGAGAGAGCTTCACGATCTTGAAAATGAAGAGAACAGGCGGGTTCGTGGTTTCCGCGAAGTGGTTGATTTGATTTCTTCTTCACGGAAACCTGTTGTTTCACAGAATTATCTTAGCGGTTATCTCCTAATATCTCCTCCTTGGTTTGCACTTGAATTAGCTTTTCCCTCGTCCTCCATTTATGATAATCTTAGTTTTAATGTGTTGCAGATTTCACGTCCATTCATGCCAAGTTCTTAGGTCCTCTACCTTCAAATGTTGATGACTTCACCCGTTCACTGAGCTCAGCTTTTCCCAATGTTGTGGATCTCAGTCAACTCATGAAAGAAATTAGTCCCTTAAGTAATGTAAGTAATCTACCTGCAGCTATGTCCTCCTTGAATAGGTTCTTTGCTCCTGTGGACGTTGAAGTAGCAAATCAAGGTTAGTGCTATGCTTTGTGCGCTCTCTTGTAAATACTTGAAACGCATTAGTGACTTAGACTGGCTTCTCTTATTAGTCTGTGTGGTCAACTCAGATGAAGGCAATCAGATGCATGGGCAGAACGTTGTGATGATATCTCATCTTTTTGCTAAACTAAGTACCATACAGAAGTCTTCTGTTCAGTCAAACAAAGATCTCCAAGCTTTAGATTCTGATGAACATGCAAATTCAATCACCTCAAACGATGAAAATGTTAAAGTTTGGTCAAAGAACAGCAGGAGAGTAAGCTCTGAGAACTTGGTGTTCATATGGGGTTTGTCGAAGAAGATGACAGCTGCAATGCTAAAGAAAGTTCTACAAAAGTCGCACACTGTTTTTGCGCAAGAGTTTGATGTTAAATACTTAGACAGGAGCTGTGCAGTTTTGGTGTTTTGGGATTCAGGTTCCTCGGATACTTTCCTCAGTGCAGTTAACAATGAAGAGCAGCTTGTTGGATCCTTAAGAGAGATGGTTGCAGAAGGGGTAAGAGTGGCAGGTTATGATACTTACAGGAGGGCATGTAGATTAGGTTTCTGGGAGGCTGACTTGGCAGAAGCTTTAGACAAAACATTGGAATCTTCAGCTAGTGATCGTGATTTAGACACCAAACCATCAGATATAAGTTGGTCGAGCGAGTTAACTATCAATTTTGATGAGCTATGAATAGTTCTGGCCTTGACAGAACCAATGTAGTGGATTATTCTTCCGTGTGGCTTATGATTTAATTCGTTGAAACCTCGTTCTCACTTGATCAATAGATTCAGTTGTGTTAGCAATTTCATGATGTGTTTTATGAAAGTAAGCTTGCTACGTTTTATAATAAGAAAAAAATGGGGGTATGTAAAGCTAGAAGGCAGTAAAGTACTACAACAGGTTATTTGTCGCTAGTAACAGCTTATCGGATTGATCAGGGCTTAATGTATACAGATAGATTTGAGTAACATAAGTAGAGAAGGTGAGATATCTATAAAGATGAAACTAAGAGAGTAATGGAGCAAACACTTCATAAAGAAGTTAGTTACTAGGTGCAATTTCCCAAGAAGTTACTCCTCCAAAAATAAGTGTATGCCGAGAGCACACGGTGTTCTTTAAAAGGCGAAAGAATAGTTCGCTTTGTGCTCAACACAAGGCTCCATGGATTGCGAATATCGACACCGGCTTGGTTTTATACATGGATCCTTCGACGCGTAGTTTCGGTTTTGTTCGATGTGGGAGGAATTTAGTTTCGTGTTATGAATATTCTCGTTTTTCTATTACTATATGTTCTTTGTTTGAGCAAATTGTTTCAAAAGCGGATTTACCAAAACGGGAGATGGAAATTATGGATCTGGACTACGGGTACAGAACTGTCATAGAATGGTATTGGGACGAGATTTTCCAGGTCCGTAAATTTGCGGATTTCGCGGAACAGGTTGTTGTAGAATTGGGTCTTTACGAAATCGGCCGAAACATGTCACGTGAGATTACAAAAATCTGCATTTTTTAACCTGAAAAAACGAGAAAAAGAGTGAGAAGAAAATGATTCATGTGATTTCTTCCGAAAAAACGTAAAGAGCTCGGGCGATGATGGTGATTCGAGTTTCAGTAATAATGATTTGAACTCCGGCGATGACGACTACAGTTCTGGCGATGACGATTCGGGATTTAGTAGTGTTTTGATTTAGTTTCTCTTTTTATTTAATTTGGAATGATACTTTTGATTTGGTGTTTGATTTTATTCCATTTTTTTGATTCAGTAAACTAAAACATTGGTTATAAATTTATGAGTTATAAGATAATAAAAAATATCTTCTATAATATTTTTATTTTGTATGTTAATATGTTTTGGGTGTGATATTATAATTACAATTGTTGTTTTGAATAAATGATAAACAGAACAATGACTGATGAATTATGTCCAGTTGAATTGACGATTTTAATTATGTCCTAAAGTGGCCTGAAGCGTTTTGGAGTGATCTACATTATTTTACTGCGTGTATTATCACATATCCCGTAGACCAACCCACAAAAACATATACATATAGTGGAAAGAGACTGGATAGCCATTCCAAAAACTGCAGCTCGCAGACTTATCCTGTTGTGACCCACTTAAAAAAATTCCCACTGCAGTTTGGGACGGAATAATCTGTTTCCCATCTCTAACCAAAATCACGCCCTCGACCAGAACCACCAATCAACCAAATACTAGCAAGCAGCAAGAGAAGTTGAACCAAACCGAAACATCGATTCGGTCGGGGATTTCAGCTTTGAATATATATACTCAATTAACCATGACCGGTTAAAGACCTATAAACCTGGTCTGGGTTATGATGTCTTGAGATTAGAAACTGAGAAAACCTCCCGGAGATAGTAAAGACGGTCGGGTAAGAAGAAATGGTGACTCCGACGGCGGCTAGGGTTTGGACATCGATCGCAGTAGTTACACGGCGTAATTCTCGGCAGCTATGGTCGTTGGCGTCTTACCCCAGCTCTAATTCCATCACTCGCACTATCAGGTACCACTCGAGCTCCGCTTAGGATTGTTCAGAGTTGGATTCATTTTTCTTACTATGGGAAAATATGGAATCTAGTCAATTGTTGTGCTCTCTTAGTTTCTTCGATCGTAGTAGATTTAACCACTTATAATGTAGTAGCTCTGGTAATCTTCTGTGCAAGGTTTTGCATAAACAGTCTTATAAAGAACCTGCGTGGAAAGCTAGATACTTGACTTCCTCTTGGTTCCATTGTACTCCGTGTCCTGAGACCGCGAGCAACTCTGAGAATATGTCTTGTCAAGATGGAGAAGCTTCTACAAAACCCAAGAGGAAAAAGCTCAAGGGAAAAAGAGCGGTTGTGCGGTGGCTCAAGTTTTTCCGGTGGAAAAAGAAGAAAGAGGTTGAAAGAATGACTGCTGAAGAAAAGATTCTAAACAAACTAAGAAAGGTTGCTTGCTTCTTTGTTACTGTTTCCAACCAGCAAATGCGTTATTCTTATTACACCTCTTATCTTCCTCGTGACAGGCTCGTAAGAAAGAGGAACGACTTGTGGAGACGATGAAGAAGCTGGAACCGTCTGAGTCATCTGAAACGACGCATGACCCTGAGATTTTGACACCTGAGGAGCATTTCTATTATCTGAAAATGGGTTTGAAGTGTAAGAACTATGTTCCTGTCGGGAGACGTGGCATCTACCAAGGAGTGATTCTGAACATGCATCTTCACTGGAAGAAGCATCAGACGCTGCAGGTTGTGATCAAAACGTTTACACCGGAGGAAGTGAATGAGATCGCTGTTGAGCTTGCGAGGTTGACTGGTGGGATCGTGCTTGATGTCCATGAAGGGAACACGATTATTATGTACAGAGGGAAGAACTATGTCCAGCCTCCCACTGAGATCATGTCTCCCAGGGTTACTCTCCCGAGGAAAAAGGCTTTGGACAAATCCAAATGTAGGGATGCGCTTCGTGCGGTTAGGAAGTATATTCCGAGGCTTGAACAAGAGCTTGAGCTGCTTCAAGCGCAAACTGAGACGAGAAAGGGAGAATCTCCGAGTGTAGCCCAGGTTGTTGATGATGAGGATCAAAGGTCGGAAGAGTTGAAGAAGATTATAGAAAGAAGCCAAGAGTGTTTTGAGGATGAGGAAGATGAACTGGCAACGGATTCTGATCTTTCTGATTTATTTGAGACTGATTCGGAATCAGAAAACGAGAAGGCAGAGCGACCGCTTTTTCTTGAGGAGTTTGAGAAATTTCCAGCGGTAAACAACAACGTAGAAGAAGAAGATGACTTTGGGGGTCCAGGGATGGCTAAATCAGGAGATGAGAAGGAGGATGAGTCTCCAGATTTTGATGAGGTCGACAAGATGTTTCTTCGGGCTGCTTCACTTTTAAACAAGAAAAGACGATGAAGAATGACCAAGAGATTCTAGTTTTCATCATCTCACAATTGGGGTGCAATTGAAGAACAAAGTCACGAGTACTATCTTCTTTTTCTCTTCTTGCTCAAAGGGTTAGTCCGTGTTTGAATTTTGATAATGTGGTTATGAGAAATATTCTTACTTACTCATTTGGTAAGTTAAAAAATAAAAGCTCCAAACTAATGCAAAGCTGCTTGCTGGAAGCTCATGCTTCAAATCAAGTGCTATGACCTAATTGATCCACGACAGCTTATTTTTTTCCACGACCAATCTTATCTGTCTTCATGTAATTTCGGATTGTAATAACACATAAATTTTGTTTTCTCTAACAACGGATCAACCTAGGATGCTGACATGAAAAAAGAAGACGTCCAGTTGTATAGTCAAAAACAAACTATAAGAATATGCCAAGCTGTTTCTCTTTTTTCCTTGAAAGACACATTCACATAGACAAGAATAAGATCATGACTCATGCATGAAGTAGAGTTTCTTCCTTGGTGTGGCTGCTATTATCGTTGGATGTGTTGTCTTTGTAGATCCTAGTCTCCTAGAGGATAGATGTAGCATATGGTACAAGTATATCTGGGTTGGATGCACTTGGTATGATCATTACACGGGCAACTTGAATTGATATATCCAATCTCATTGGGTTGTTTAACGTTTTTAGGTTCACTGCTGTATTTGTTCTTGCAATGCTCTTTTTGGGGTCTATGGAATAAAATCACATTAAAAAAAAAATGAATTTCTTATAGTGAAAACACGTTCATCGTCAAGCCTTTTTCCTCGTAAAGTCCTACTTAATCTACGAGGAAAATTTTCCTCGTAAACGCATAGATAAGATTTTCCTCGTAAAGTCATAATAACAATTTTCCTCGTAAACTCGTAGTAAAGCTTTACGAGGACCTTACTAGTAAACTTTACGAGGACTTTACTTCGAAAACATTACGAGGATTTTACTTCGAAACGTTTTTTCCCCTATTAAAAAAAAATTATAAATATAAATATAAATAATATATTTTTAAGAAATTAAAAAACCAAATTATAAATAAAAAAAGAAATAACAATATATTTTATAAATAACTAAATAATATACAATTAAGTTTTAAAATTCATAATATACAACTAAAACAAAACTACGGATGGTGGTCGTTAAATTGCCGAACGAAGTAGTCCTGGCTCGCCAACTCCTCCTTGGCAAGGTTGGTTGTCGGTTGTGACTGTGACGGTGGATGCTGTTGGGTTGGAAGCCCTCTGTTTCCCCGTCTCACACACAACATTTCCACCAATTGCGGGTTTCCAACCGCCAAAATGTCCAGGACATCGGTGAGAGAACTCACATGATCGGTGAGAGAACTCACATGAGACTGCGTCGCCTGCAACTCCGAGCGCAGCTGAGCATTGACTTCGTGCTGTTCATGAGCATAAGATGATGTCGCTGTGGGGACATCGTTAACGGAGCCAATCCCGACGATACATCCCTTTTTCCTAAGGGTGACCTGTAAATAAAAAGATTAATAACGTTAAAAAAAAATTAAATAAATAATAAAAATTAATAGAAAAATAAATTATTTACCTCCTCGTAAATCTTACCCACTTCAAGAGTGGATAATATGACTGGTGTCCCAGACTTCTGAGTCAGCTGGGTCTGGCGTTCGTCAACCCGAGCAACAACCTCGTTGTAGATCCGCTCGGATCTAGGATCTACAAAATGCCCAGCCTTGTTCCGATAAGTCCTCTGATAAAGCTCTTTTAGAGATGGAAGAACTCTAGTCTCTTTAGCCTAAAAATAATTTAAAATAAATATAATTAGGAATATACAAATAGAGTAAAAATTAAACAGTTATTAAAAATTAATTTACCATGTCTAGACGAATTCCCCCGTGAGGTTTTCGACCCCCGGTGTGGAGCATCTTCGTGTTGCCATGCTCGTCTCTTTTCATGCGGTTCTCGGAGTTTGTGTGGGAGGTTCTGACCGAGTCCGGCAACCCCCAATATCTGATGAGGCCATCCCACACGTCGAATGTGAGGCAATTGGGTTTCCCGTCCTCGTAACCATCCACCTGAACAAAAAAATAATTTTAAAATGATTTGAATCAAAGTAAATGATTTAAAACTATATATATATAATTTATAAATTCACACCTGAAAGTCGCCCTTCCAGTTGTAGACCATGTCGAGCTATCGTGCTTTTTCCTTAGCCTCAAACTCCGTCTTCACCCGCTGGTGAATCCCTATAGACCAACGATATTTTTGCTGTAACCAGAAAAAATTAGAGTAATTAGTTCAATAATATTAATAATTTTAAATAATTAAAAATAAATTAATTTAATTAATTAATGACTTACAACGAACGATTTGAACCACGTCTTTTTGTGTGGTTGGGCGTCTTTTTCCAGTTTGGAGCTGGATCGGGAAAGTATCCCTTGATACAATCCATGACGCTCTGAGCGACACATCCGTCAAGACCAAACCTGGAAAGAAACAAAATTAAAGACATTAATTAGATTAATTTGTAATTTTTTTCTTAATTAAGAAATAAATAAAAAACGATTTTTAAAAATTAAAACATACCATAATATGTTGTGGCCGTCCCGTCGGATAGGATCTAACTCAGGCAGCCCTTCTTTGCTTGGAAGGGCCATAATATCCTCCACTGTGTACACCGCAAATGGTGCGTTTGGCGGCACCTGCAAGTCGGGATGAACCCCGGCGACCGGTGGAGGAGGAGGAGGAGGTGATTGGTCAGACCGGGGCGCCGTAGAAACTCTCTGAGTCTCGGGAACAGCGTCATGATCCGGAATCGAAGAACCGGGAGCAGACGAAGATGATGCGCCTGGCTGACGACCGAAAATATCTCTGTAATGACTCCCCTGAAGAGGCCTCTTAGCCGCCGCCCTCTCAATCTTGCTCTTTCTAGTCATCTAAATTAAAAAAAAAAAGATAATTAAAACATTAATATACTAGTATATTTTTTAAAAATGGTTAAAAAAACTAAATTAACCTAATCTAAATTTCCTAAACTAGTCACCCAATCTAAATTTTCTAAACTAACCACCTAATCTAAATTCCCTAATCTAGTCACCTAACTAGGAAATAGAGAGAACCTTAAGAGGATTCAGAGAGAAGCTTACTACAAATGAGAGAAATCGGATGGCTCGAGTTTATATAGGGAATTTTGTTTCCTCGTAAGGTCCTAGTAATTTTACGAGGAAATAGCTATGCCCGCGTTTAGGGTTTCGAAGCCTTTACGAGGAAATAGCTATGCCCGCCTTTTTGTTTCCTCGTAAAGTCCTAGTAACAGTATTACTAGGACTTTACGAGGAAACAACCTTTACGAGGAAACAGCTATTCCCGCATTTTCTGTTACTAGGGTTTTACGAGTAAAGGGTTTGTAAATCCCTAAACTCGAAACCCCAAACCACAACTTCCTTAACTTATAACCTCTTTTACAACCAAACTCCTAACCTCTTCTACACATAAACCCCAAATGCAAATTAATTTTGTGATTAAACAAACTTAAAGCATACATAATTCAAATTCATTTTTGTGATTAAACAAACTTATAAACATACATAATTCATTCAGATACATTCTCGTAATCTGTTGAAACATCATCATTTTCGTAAAACTCGTCCTCTACACCTTCGTTCGTCGAGTGATCAGGAACATCTTCGTATTCACGATTATGCGGATCAATGAGTAGGATGTCATCAATTTCTGCTTCAGGTTCCTCGATCTCATTGGTGTTTTCTTCTTGTAATGGTGGTTCTTCTCCAGCGATTATTTGTCCTCGAGGTGTAACTTTGATAACATCTAACCAGTTTATTTCCGAGGTAGTAATCCGAGGGTATGGAATGAAGCAAACTTGATCTGCTTGGGAAGCTAATATGAAAGGCTCGAACTTGTTGTACCTGCAAAAATAAAGACAACGTAGAAATTAATTAATACTCGAAACCCGGATATAAAAAAAAAAAATTTGTTGTACATTCGTCCACCATTGACATCAACTACACCGTTCTTGTTAATCCAAACACCTCTGTTGACGACGGGGTCGTACAACTCACAATTGAAGATAACGCATTTCAAACTCATACCAGGGAATTGAACTTCATAAATCTCCTGCAAGATCCCGTAGAAATCTATTTCGCTTTTCACACATATTCCATAATTACTTGTCGCCCGGTGTCTACCATAGTCATAGGTATGAAAAGTATAACCCCGGGTGAAATACATCGATGATGCAGTGACCTTTGCAACTGGACCTTGAAGTAATTCGCGAAACCATGCGGGATACTCAGGATCGTCATAATCAACATATAAAAAAAAGTAACAGAACTAGACATTAGACTTACTTTGTGGTAATGAATGCATAAAATTTAAGCTATAATAAATACATGTTTCCTCAACCACTTGATAAAGTGTTGATCTTTTCTTTTGCCTAACTCAGTTGTCGATATACTAGGTATTGCTTCTTCGACTTGAGTCACAAATTAACTGTACAATAATATATGTTATGTTATTTAATATTGATATATATATATATAAGTGTGTATGTTTATATATTTACCTTTCAAAATACCCAATCAATGGATGCTCGCAATTAAGAATAATATAGAGGTGTGCACTATGGACGTCTTCATCACTCGACCACCAAACCTCTTTCAATTTCCCACTCAAACAAAAGATGTCTGGAACATCATCTTCCATATATGTCGGCATGACACCACCATCATCATATCTTCTTGGAGCTGGTTTCCTTGTACGTACTTTCTGTGCAAAGTAGTACGATGTGAAATGTGATGTTTCTTCCGTCAAACTTCCCGCAACAATAGAACCTTCAACTCTTGCTAGGTTCTTGGCTTTTCCTTTCAAAGTTTTCATGGCCCTTTCATACTGATACATCCATCCATAATGCACATGTCCATGAAGTAATGCCTCATACGGGAGGTGGACAACTAGGTGTTCCATGACGTCGAAAAAAGTAGGCGGAAATATTTTCTCCAAGTTGCAGATTAAGACGGGGATGTTTTCATGAAGTTGTTGGACAACTTCCACTTTAAGAGTGCGGGTGCTCAGATCCCTAAAAAATGCTCCAAATCCTATATATTTACAAAAACAAAAATTATCCACATTAGTATATATATATATATATATATATATATATATATATATGTATACAGAAATAAATTAATCATATCATCATTTTATATTAATTAATTACCTGAAAGTGCTTCATGTACTTTTGCCGGTAGTAGCTCCGCAAACACAAAGGGAAGTAGTCGCTGCATGAAGACAT